AAACTAATATAAGTATTTAAATGGAAAGAAAAGGAAGTTAGATGGTTCATGGTTGGGAGGACATTAGTCATTAGCCATTAGAGGGGCTTTAAGGGCGTGGTCTCTCCTTCCCATAAATTTATACACCAATTATTTCCTGCATGCTGTGACTTCCTTTAGTTTATCAACATTCATAGTAATTGCAGAACTAGCCACATCATTACTTAATATCATTTTTCTTAGGTAATATATTTAATGGATACATAAGTTGGTCAGAGCCATGTGTTCCGTTCTTTGCATTCAACTTCAAATTCCGTTGTTCTTGCTTTTAGATGAAGGGTAGTGCTAGGAAAACTAAATTTGTAAACGAAATTTACAACTAAATAATGTATCACCAATATGAATGAGCATGTTTATTAACACTTAAGTAATCCATTCATTAACTTCTATGTCATTTAGTTTACAAAATTTTATCTACAAATTTAGTTTCCTAACATTACTCTTACATGAATTATCTAGCCATCGTTAGAGTAATTATCTAGCTATTGTTTGTCAAAAAAAAAAAAAAAATTAATAGATTTAACAATACTTCTGTTTTGTTCTTTATTTTTGGTCTTACATCTTTTCTTTTCTGATGAAGTTAACCAAAATAATTCTGGAAATTACAACTTAATATTCGGGGCAGATGCTGCAGGAAGACAAAAGGAACCAATAATCAAGAGTAAAAGGGAATGAGACTAATCAGTCCCTGGCCGTCAACCACACACCGTTGGCACTAATTAACCATACACCTAAAAACAATTTAACGTTTGAGTTCTTGGTCAAATGATATCTTCTGCAGTATTATGTGCACTGCTTCCTCCAGGATGCCGGATGAAACAATTCTAGGACCCTTTTTTTTTTTTTGGGTGGAAGAGCTTAATTATTTTGTTTATTTGTACAAGTGATATCAGGCGAAAAAATAATTAAACATAAGAGTATAATTATTTCTTACTACTGAAATACAAGCCATTTGCATATTATTTCTTACTACTGAAATACAAGTCATTTGCATATTGATACACACTTATTCTGCTATCCCTAATTCTCTAGGTAGGTGATTCTCACAGGTAACACGTTAATTAGGAGATGATGAATTTGGATTTTATATAGTACTTTAAACAATTTTCTTTTTCAACAATTATGGGTTATGAAATTGAACTCGAACTTCTTTTAGCAAGTGAAAATTGAGAGCAAGGACTTGAGTTTTAAGATTTAAGAATAACAACAACAACAACAAAATCTTTTTCCACTATGTATGGTCGGCTGTATGAATTATAAAATGTCATTACGCTCGATTTTGTGCTACGTATTCCGTTAGCTCCAAGCACTCCATGTCTCTTCTTAGAGTCATTTTCCAAGTCTTCATAGATCTCCCTCTACCCTTATGCCCTGAACCTCTATCTCATCCTCACATCTTCTAACCGAAGGATCTATAGGTCTTCTATTCACATGTCTGAACTGCCTTAACCGATTTTCTCTCATCTTATTTTCAATTGGGGCTACGCTTATTTTACCTCGGAGATTCTCGTTCCTAATCGTGTCCTTTCTCGTGTGCCCATACATCCACCGAAGCATTCTCATCTCCGCTACACTCATTTTGTGCTCATGTTGAGGTACGACCGCTGAACATTCCGTGCCACAAAGCAGTGTTGGCCTTACTGTTGTCCTAGAAAATTTCCCCTTGGGCTTTAGTGGGCATACAATGGTTGCACAACACACCTGAAGCACTCTTCCCCTTCATCTATCCAGCTTGTATTCAATAGTTGAGATCTCCATCTAATTCTCTATTTTCTTGCAAGATAGATCTAAGATAGTGAAAGCGTTCACTCTTAGGTATTTTCTGATCTTCAATCCTCACCCCTAATTCATTTGAACCCCTGCTTCACTGAACTTGCACTTCATATATTCTGTCTTTGACTTACTTAGGCTCCAACGCTTCCCACCAAAGATTAAGCTTCACATTTACCCCCTCTTGAGTTTCATCTATCATCACTATATTATCTGTGAAAATCATGCACCAAAGGATATCATCTTGGATATGTCCCATGAGCTCATCCATTACCAATGTAAAAATTACGAGTTTAAAGCTGAGCTTTGGTGTAACCCTACGGTTATGGGGAAACTTTTGGTTTGTCCTTTATGTGTTTTTACTGCAGCGCTTACTCTATCATACATATCCTTTATTGCTTGGGAAAAAAGAAAAAAAAATTCATGCATACCATTATTTGTAAACCAAATACAAGAATATGAGTTTTGCATTAGTGAAAATAAACTCGTTGTGCATGATCGTTAAACACGAAAATTTTACGGTGCTTCAAGTATTCTGTATTTTTTAAAATTTAACTGTTATCTCTTGGTTAATATATTTAATTAATTAACTATGAATCTCTATGACTCTAAACGTTAAAAACCTCAAAATAATTCGTGGCCAATTCACACATTTTTTTTACTTATGGTTGAAATCATTCATTTTGTAAAACACTCTTTAAAGATAATCATTCTCAACATGATTCGAATACTTTTATTAATTTTTTTTAACAAATGATAGTATATTACACTAAAGGGGTAGAGGAATGAGCTAAGCTTCGCACTGGGTAGCCATAAGAACATAAGAATGTAGTTCAAATTCGCTTTTGGCTAGAATCGAACCTAAAACTTTTGATTTACAAGTGAAAATGAATATCACTAAATCGTAGTACTAAATGAAAATTATAAAGTATACCCCATTATAAGCAGAAAGTTCAATAAATAGGTGATAAACTGTATTTGTATAGGAATTTTTCCACAATAATGTGGAGCCAAATATATCTGGATCTAGAATTATAATCGCTGTTCAAAAATGACAAAGACAGTCCTTAGTGTTTGCTTGATCTTTTAGTTGTTGACAAATGTGAATCTCGCATGCTTTGAGGATTAAGAATCATCCAGGCACGTGTCGGGAAACATCAGAAAGCAAATGAGGAGGGTAAGGGTTTTATGCAGGTGTTTGACAATATTGCCCTCGGGAAGGGAAACTGTGAATGGTGGACGTGGGCGGTTGGCATGGCAAATAAGGGAAAAGCACCAGAGGTAGGGAGCTTGTCTCCCTCGATGGCGCAGTCCCTTTCAGCCACTCACCCCAATTTCCAAGTAGACATCCGTCCAGAGTACCTGACCCTACCATCATTGCAATCTGACGGCAGGGATACGACAGGTTTCATACTCAAACCCTTACTTATATCAATCAATGGCTATAAACCCATCACAAGTTCAGTGATCCAACTAGTGGGAAAGCAACTTCAGTAAAAATGCTTCACTGGGATAGCTCTGAGGTCAAAACCAGGGTGAAATTAATTAGCACCTATTTACAAGAATATTATGTTTTTGTGAGCGTGACTAACCTGTTATATGTGATCATAAACTGCCTTGTCGTAGTTTTTTATTAAGAAGATGAACTTGTATTTATAAGTCGAACACCATGGCAATTTTAAAACCAAATCAAATAGTGAAAGGTGCTAACGTTTAAACACATATTACCCTACTTAATTTCAACTGATGCATTGTCATGGTGCTATGGGGTCAGGATTTTCTTGGTCGGATTCAGCTCCCAATTTAATATCGTGATTGGTTGGCTATATGCTCAGTTACCCTTTTTTATAGTCATTTCGGGTCTTCTTGTATTCTTTTAGCTACTAGCTAGGTCTGGTTTCATGTCTTCCTTGCTTTCGGCTTTTGTGTTTTGGTGTTTGGTATTTCATTTTATTTCCTGCTCCTCTTCTTTCATCACCCTTACTATTGTCGTTTCTTAAAAAGAAAAAAGAGAGAGACTTATACGGTGACATTAATCTCTTCACAATCCACTTGAATGTTTTTCAATATAGCTGATAATTATCATAGGTGCTACCAATTCATTTCATGCATTTAGATTTTTTTTAATTTTATATACAAGTAAAATCTCATTTTTTAAAGATAAATATGTTTAATTATTTGAGTTATAAATTCTTATGATCAATGAATTCAAATTAAGTTCATAATATAAAAAATCAACAAGAAAATTATGATATTATGTAACGGTGTAATTGACGCAGTCAGAAAACTCTCACCACACCCATGTGTTGTAAAGAACACTACACGTTACCCTCAAACAATCTCAGCCAACCAGTTGTACATCTCAACACACCACACACATAGAGAATACTAATCAGGAGTCGTCTCTGTCTCTTGGTTAATCTTTAGGTTTAGTCTCAAACTTTGTTTTTCTTTTTCCCGAAAAAGCTTTATTTGTCTTCCCAAAAAACCAATCAACACATATCCCTGTCTCTTCCTCTCCTCCCACCTCAAAGCTTCAAAAGAGTACTCTCTCTCTCTCTCTCTCTGTCTCTCTCTCAAACATCAAGTCATGAGGACTTTCCTTATTTGGCCGTTCCGGGGTTCGCCTCCCGCACTGTGGATTCACTCAGGCCCCTTCTCTGGCTACGTGTTACCGACACCTGTACGTCCCGTTCTGCATGATAGAGAGAGAAAAAGAGAAGGGCAAGGATGAGATAAGATCATAAATAAGAGAGTCAATGAAGAAAGAGACATACAGAAACACAGAGACACACAGAGAGAGAAAGAAAGGGTAGCAGATAGCCAGCAGTAGTAGTAGCAGTACAGCTTCTTTTCTTATTGGGGTTTGTGGTGGTTGTTTTCATATTTTCTTCTCTTTTATTTACTTTTTTTTTTGGCAAACTCTCTTTTATTTACTTTTTATCATTGAACAAAACCCTAAATTTCCTTCACACCAAAAGATTACTATTTGTTGATTATTCCGACATTTTGGTATCTTTCCTTATATGGGATTTTATTCTCTCCTTCTGGGTTCTCAGATCTGACTCATTTCTACCGATCTTTTTATTTATCTCTCTCTTTCAAGTTCTGCTTTCTTCCCAATCTTTTTTTTTCTTATTAATTATCAAAAATTCAGTATTGGGTAGTTATATATTCTTGTGTTTAGAAATTTAATCTGGTTGGACTTAGGGTAGAAATTGACAGAAGAGAGTGAGCACACAGAGGCACTTGCCATAAAGCGTATGCCATTGCTTTTGCGTGCTCATGTCTCTTTCTGTCAGCTTCCCCATTTCCACTGCCGGATTAATATTAATTTTTTCATTTCTTCCTTCACACCCCCTCCCTTCTTCTCGTCTCCCTCTTTAATTTGTTTCACCAGTTCTCTTCTCTCTCAAAATGTTTTATTTACGGTGCTTAATTAACTGCTCAAGGGGATTCAAACTTCAAAGAAACTGAACCCCTAAGCCTAGCCTAGCTAAGAGAGCATGCTCCTGTTACTCCTTTGAAATCGGTAAGTGATTATATGCATATTGTATCAATTGTTTTTATGTTATCTAAGCAGCTGAAACTATTACCTTGAGAGCGTGACTTTTGATATTGTTTATATATGAGAAGGTACATATACCTGTTTACTGTGAGAAATTAGCGGCAAAAACCAGGTTATCAAGCATATAGCATATCATGGGACCATTATTCACGCTCTATCTCTATAGTATGGTCCTCCCTTTCCTTCCCTCCTTCCTCACTCATCATCTTGAAACCCTGATCTAGTCCGAGAATTGGTAATTTTGATCCTTTTTTAATTCATACGCATGCGATGCTAACTTGAAAACTGGTTCTTTTTGGACCTTTTTTGTATTTTGTTTAATAAATGGGTTTCTGTAGAACCTTATTTAGCAGCCTGAATATGGTTGCTTTGCTTGCGTGTTCGTACTACTGGTTACAAATCGTTTTCCTAATAACTAGTCTTTGGTCTAGATTTTACTTTTAAAATTCTATTGTGAATGCACATATTTCTTATAATTCTATTGTGATTTAATGTGATGATCTAAGATAAAATGAGTATGGTTTTGTTATCTGTTTATCTCTAGTTTTAATTATGCAGGTTAGCCTGATGGATATAACAGTTCATTGTCAAGTTGTAAGTTTTTCTTCTTTTTTTTCTTTTGGGTATGTGTCTACAGCTATCTGTCAAGTTTCATCAGATGACAGCTTGTTAAACAGGTTTGAATTTGCTTTCCCAATGATCAAAATCAATTTGGTGGTTCATTTCTTGCACCAAATTTATGTATATATCTCTATATATGTGATCTATGACATATATTTATTTGGATTTTATTTTAAGAGTTGTTTCTCTAATTAGAGGCCGCTGGTAAGTATTTCTAACCCAAATACCCGATGGCCTTATTAATCTGTATGCATACTACAGTAACATGAACAATTTCAATCTTTGTTTATATCTCGCAGTAAAATTTGTTCCATATCTATGTCCACAAACTGGAAGAGGCTGTTCCCAAACAATAATGACTGGGATACACTGGTAAGTTATTTTAAGCATGGATTAATCTTATTTTAATTTTAGAATTACATGTCATGTATTCCTTATTGCATGAAGTTCACTTTGAGTTTGAAGTTGCTACAGAATTTAAGCCAGTTTTAGTGGCTTAACTATGAATTATGCCCAAAATTGTATTAGTTCTTGTATTTAGTAACTAGATAATTGTACCGGTGACACGAATATAAAATGGTAACCATTACTTAGTTAATTTTATGTTAATGTTTGTTGTATATTTGTCATGACGTTTGTTTAGCAAATTGTTTCGTTATTACTTTTTCATATATTTATAGAATGTAGACTTTGTGGTCATTCTTTTTTATGTTTCTGTCGATGTTGCAGTAAGTTGATAAATATTGCATTTGGTTTGTCTGTCAAGTATCTAGTATGTTGACTTTGTGTAGCCATATGAACAAAATATTATTTGACAGAATTTCTACAGTTATTACCAAACACCAGCCACATCCCGTTCTTCAGTCCACTTCGTCAATGTTATGAAGGCATGAGTCAACAAATTGATTCCAGCAAATACGCATGGAAATTATATGTCAAAATGGTGTGGATATAACTATCTTGCATGTGCATGCGAGATGCTGCATGTTAGGCTTTTGATGGAATTTATAAGATTCTCATGTTAGGAGAATGTACGTATAGATCTGCAGATTGTTCTTTTTTATTACGTTTTGTGGTCCAGATTCACTAAACCGAGCAACATAAGCATTTTTTTGACATTTCTGGCTGGAATAATACCCTTTTGAATGTAAGAGGGTTTGTACAATGTATACTTAGGTTGTCAATTACAAATTGTTGATCAGTAAAATTCAGAAACTTACTGAGTATGGATATTTCCAATTTTAGGAAGCGGAGGAGATCAGATAATCTCTTCATGGGAAATGATTTGTGTACTCCCATTTTCTTCTCTGATTTTCAAACGGCTAGGAACAAAGAGAGGAGTGGAGGGGAGAGAATTATAAAGGAGTGTGGAAATCATTTCCCTCTTTTTATCTTGTGATTGGTATGCCAGTTAAAGATGGCTTCAGCCTTATCTTTCCAAAGTACAAACAAAAACAGAAAAAAGTTGTTTGGCTTCGCTTCATATTGGGCTGGTTTGTTGTGTTCTTTATGTACTAATTGGCTTACTACACCAATCACATGATACTATCATCAAGGTCCAAGCTTGGGGGTTGGAACTTTGTAGTACTGCATGCGCCGGGATTTACAACCTCTATGTACGTTGTCTGTGGTGACCACTTCATCTTCTGGGTTTGGACTATTCTGTTGCAGCGTTCCATCAGCACTGACTGATGTGAAAAGCGGCAGTGAAAGCTTGGGGGTCGTTTTTCAGCAACCCCACCAAGTAGACAAAAAGGAAAGTTCCACAAACCTAGAAAAGATTAAGAGATTGTGTTCATTTCTGATCTATTGTGTTCTATTTCTTTGTTTGTTGTGTGGGTATGAGGTGTTGATGATTATCTATATATTTTTAAAATCCATTAATTATTGTTAGAAACATTAAAGTATTTCGTGACTAGTGCTTCACTCTTCATAGGGAGCAATTCAACCAGTGCAAATTGGTGGATTTGGAATGAGTAATATATCTGTTAAATAATTGATTTGCACACTAATGAAAATATAGTATGGATATTTCTAATTTGACTACTCAGTTGATGATATTTTGATTGATTTTTCTTGTGCTGAGGTCATTGTTTCATTTAGGTGAACTATATGAAAGAATGTGTACTTCATTATGTCCTTGAAATAAGTCTAAGTTGGTCGTTATCATATTCATTTTATACAAAAGTATATAACTTCTATATATGATTTTTCCTGAAGTGCATATTGTGCTAGTGTTACTAAATGATTGTGGTTAAAGGAGTTTAAAATTATAGCTTGATAAAATTTTAAACCTAGTCCTTAATGTATGTCAATGCTAAAATCTCTTTTTTTTTTATTAATTCCTTACTCGGGTGTTGATGAATTATTGATTGATTGATTGATTAATTGATACAATGGAGACAATGTTAAATATTGTTTATATTTTTTTAAGTCACAATGGTCAAGATTTGAACCCAGCTATCTTCCATCTTGCTGGCTCATAATCCATTGTTCCATAGTCATACTAAACACGTAGAGATTGATGTGCCTTTTGTTCATGAAAGAGTTCAGTGTCAAGATCTTCAAGCTCATCACAATTCTTGCTCTGAACAACTTGCATACGTCATGACAAAAATACTGCTTTCTCCTCGGTACTTATATCTTAGAAACAGTCTCATGATATAGAGTCCTAGAACGAGATTGAGGGAGGGCATTAGATAGCCTTATGCCATATCAGCATAATATATACTGATGTGGTGTCTGTTTAACTATAGCTGTGTTAGTTTAGACTGTTAAAGTGTAAATACTAAAGGCTTAATTATGGTCATTCAGGAAAGTGCACACACACACACACACAGTCTGCCTTCAGTTGTAAATACTGATTTAGTTTTAATGAGAAGAAGCTTTGTTATAAGCCCTAGAATTTCTTTGCTTATTTCTGAATCAATTGGCGAATCTCAGTCCAGATGATATGAATTCGTTTAAAGATCTAAACGTCAATCAGTAAGTTTGGTTGTTTTTTTAGGTCAACTATACATCCGGGGAGTTGGCGTGAAATATGCTTATAGCTATATATATGGAAGGGAAGCTTTGGAATCACTTATGAGATTAAGGCCTGCTTCTGGTCTATATATAGTCGTATATAATTCCCCCTGGTAGCTAAGACTGTTTCTTTGATGATTACTTGTTATTTTGTGCCGGGGTTTTTGCTGAGGTTTTGATCAGGAGCTGATAAATACACATATATAATCCGAATTGTTGTGAAAATATTGCAGGATACTATTGATTCATCACCACAATATATAATATATCACATCTGGCTGTTGAACATTGCCTTTCGAGTTCATCATCCGCACATGGCGCTTCAGCATTGAAGCTAAGCTATTCTCCTCCACAGTGAATGGTGGGATATTTCCGCGATAATGGAACCCCCCTTATTTTTTTTCGAGTGGGGCATCTGTATTTGGCACTTTCCGTAGGTTTGAAGAGCGTGGAGTTCGTCCAGAAATGCTTTCCCTGATTTTTGGAACCCACCTTCTTCATATGTAGCTCATCCTCTCTACAATATTCATTATTATTTATTGATAGATGCCTTTTTTACAAGATTTAACGGAAAAGTAATGTATCATATGTTCTTTTGTATTTCTGAAGAAATAAATTATGGAGATGGTTTTTCAAATTATTAGAAGCAAGGAAAAGTATAGTATGTAGAAATTTGGCCTTGTTGAGTATAAGGACACTACTTATTTTCTCCTCTTCGAAAATGGTTCTCTTCACTTCTTCCTTTGTCCGAGTATCGGTATTCAAACTGCCGGTGTAGGGCTTCAGGTTTAAGAATTAAGATTAATTCAGGAACTCCTTTTGAGCTTGTTTCGCTCCGACCAGCTGGTTTACGTATGCTATTCAATGGACGTTATTGATTATATTGGGTGGGAAAATATCAAAATTCCTGTCCTTTCTCCAAAATTATGAGCTTAATTATGTGTTATGTCCGACTGCATGTACTGATCAATTGATCAGGTCTATGCACAAGTACTGCATCTATCGCTGTCGTTGGCGGCGAGTGTTTTATTTTTGGTCAGAAAAAGTGACATTTCATGGTCCCAAAAGAACTGTTCCTTGAGTGCATATTTTACTATCCCAAGTACTGTCCTTTA